CGTCTCCTCTGCTTGGGCTCCTCAGAGGCAAGCTGGGAGCTTAAAAAGAAGCGTTTTAAGGCTAGATTGTGCGTTGGCTGCAGGGATGTGGCATCTCGGGTAAAGAGGAGGGTATCTTTTGCTCTGGCATTCAGCCATCCTTCTGCTGCCTGTCTCAAGGTCTATTGTATTTCCTATGTGAACAGGTTTCCATGATCCTGGGGTTGTGCCAGCCAAGGTGGTCAACAGCCACTGCTTATAGACTTGGCAACCTCTTCTGCACCCTATTTTCCTCCTACGCACATGGGGAGCGAAGGTATTCTGATCCTGTTAGTCCCGGGTGGGATATATGTTCAGTGCAGGTAGAACAAGACTGTTGTGCCTTTCTAGTAATATTTCCTGCAGTTGTTCTTCTGCTGTGTTTGACTTTTTCTTTGGCTATCTGCTGTGTAGGTTACTGCGTTCTTCCCTTTCTGTTATGTTCCACTTTAGGTGTGTTTCTGTGACAGGCAATTCACAGTTACAGTCAAAGATGAAGACTATAACGGTGCTAATAAAGGTTTTGTTCTCTTTAGGTACAAGCAGCTCCCCAGCAAGTGGCCGAAGACAAGTTTGTATTTGATTTACCGGACTATGAAAACATCAATCATGTAGTGGTCTTCATGCTGGGAACTGTACCATTTCCCGATGGAATGGGAGGATCTGTCTATTTTTGTTATCCGGACCAGAGTGGGATGGCAGTGTGGCAGCTGCTGGGGTTTGTCACTAATGAGAAGCCAAGTGCCATCTTCAAGATTTCTGGTCTGAAATCTGGTAAGACTGGTGAAAGGTTGCAGTCAGTGAAGCGGAGATGTGTTCCTGCGTGCCTAAAGGGGTGAATGTTTGAAGGTGGTTTTGAACACAAAGCTACTTGAAAAGGCAGAACCACTGTGTGTGCTCAGATGGTCCTGAGCAGATGTGGTGCTGGAAGCAGTCTGTCAGCTTCATGGAAGTCTGTCCGTCTGTTTGTTAATGTTCTTAGAGAAATTTCTCACTTGTCTTCTCCTGTATGTAGTGTTGATCAGGAATTCTTTTGAGCAGGCTTGGCATGTGTTCCTGCACTTCTTCATGGAGAACCTGAGGAAGACTGAGCCTGTAGCTTCCTTGGCGTGTTTTTAGGTGTTCTTCTAGATAGGCCTGAAATGTTTTCTTTCAGCTTCCACTGTTAAATGGTTGTAATCTTTATAACACAGAGACAGGCTTTGTAATGAGACAAGTCTGGTGCAGTTTCAGACAGCTGCTGCTTCCCCTCCAGGTGCTGTTGCACTCTGTAGTTGTCCAGTACAGGGTGGACATTGGACAACAGCATTCCCAATGTTTTAGTATTTTTGATAGTCCCAAGTCAGAGAAGTCTCACTCATGGGAGCCAGAGAATGCTGGTGCTGCCTGAAGTAGGTGTGGGTGTTTTCCTAAATAGATGGGAATGTTTCCATGCATATTTATAAAAATGATGGAAGCACCCCAATGGCACAGCTTTGTCTGAAGTATTGAAGGGACTGTAGCAGTAGAACAAGTGGTGATGGGTTCAAACTTAAACAGGGGAAGTTCACATTAGATGTAAGGAAGAAATTCTTTACTGTGAGGGTGCTGAGGCGCTGGCACAGCATGCCCAAAGAAGTGGTAAATGCCCCATCCCTGGCAGTGTTCAAGGCCAGGTTGGGCAGAGCCTTGGGTGACCTGGTCTAAACAGCTCCCCTGTTCCCGTTCTTGTCTACAGCTGATCTCAGGCTGTAGAGTCAGTATAAGCTCCACATCCTTTGTTTCGATGCCCATAAACAGTTGTATGATGGAGGCTGTGGAAAGGTGAGATGGGAAAGGGATTACAGAGAGCTGGAATCATTGAGAGACATTACTGACTATTGAAATATGTGGTTTGGGTTCAGTCCCTTGTTGAGAGGAACAGTTTTGTGTCTGTGTTTGTCAGCTCCCTGTGAAACAGGGGTTCTAGCAGAGTTTCTTGCTATGGGGTGTTTCTTATGTGAGCATGAGGTGGCACAGTGGTTTATTACAGACTTTGGGAAAGGTTAAATGTATCATTTCTAACTCTTAAGTTTAGAGTCTGAAATGCCTTGGAACCATACAGGGTTTGTGATGTGTGTAACTTGCTTACATTGCATGTTGTTTTAAGGGCTGTTAAATACAGTATCTGGGGGTGTGGTGTTACACTTCTGGACTATGAGGGTCAAGTAAAATGGCATTTCCCAGGTTTTTTTCTTTGCTTCTCTCCTCCTTCTTGTCCCATGCTCACTTAGGAAAGCCAGTGCAGGTGAACACTGCAGTGTTTCCAGGTGGGATACCAGAAGGTTGTCTCCATAGATGAACTAAAGGGGAAATCGCCTTTGTGGAATACAGTCTTCAACATGAAAGTGATTTATGGAATAGAGACTAAATTATGACCCTGGGTGCTTTATCCTTGACTACAGGTGCTATTTAAACTCAGGTAACTTTAGAATAAGCGATTTCCAGATTGGGTCTTCAAGGTGTCTCACTGGGATACCAGAAGGTTGTCTCCATAGATGAACTAAAGGGGAAATCGCCTTTGTGGAATACAGTCTTCAACATGAAAGTGATTTATGGAATAGAGACTAAATTATGACCCTGGGTGCTTTATCCTTGACTACAGGTGCTATTTAAACTCAGGTAACTTTAGAATAAGCGATTTCCAGATTGGGTCTTCAAGGTGTCTCACAGATGTTGCTCCTCTATACTCAGGAAAAGTTTGTTGAATTGTATTTCTTGGCACTCTCAGTACAAACTTAATCTATCTAAACACAGGCTTTTCTTGTTGCTCTTCTTGCTAACATTTAACCATTCTTAAAAGCTGTGCTGGGAGGTTAGAAATGTGTTCATGCAGCTTTTGTTTGTGGGGATTTTTTCGTTGTTTCGTTGTTTTGACTCCTTGCTTTAGCAAATGAAGTCTTGCATCTGCCATGATACTGATAGTAAGTCTAGGAGTCGAAGGCCTGAAGTGTCAATCATTATTACATGTTCCTTTTTGAGGATTAACTATCACATATGGTGGTGAGTGGCTTTGTAATAAGCATTAAATCTGAATTTTTTTCTCTCCAGATGCAGTCTTCATGTTTGCTGAGAATAAGACTTATTAAATCAATAAGTTATACACGCTCCCCCCAACCAAAATTGGTGGTTAGATTTTGTGCTGAATAAAGTTTGAGGTTTGGGGCTTTTTCTGTGCATTTCCCCACCCCCATTGGGGTGACAGTCAGTGTGCATTCTTGCAGGCTCTTATTCTTCCCAGTTCTCTCCAGTTACTAAAATATAAATTAAAAGTTTGGTTCCTATAGAGAAAGGTTCTGCTGTCTTTTACTCACAGATCATGTTTCTTGCTGGATCATTTACTTCATAGGGAGCTTTAAAATCACAGAATAGTTGGGGCTGGAAGGGACCTTAAAGCTCATCCAGTCCCAATCCCCTGCCATGGGCAGGGACACCTTCCACTAGAGCAGGTTGCTCCAAGCCCCTGTGTCCAAGCTGACCTTGAACACTGCCAGGGATGGGGCAGCCACAGGTTCTCTGGGCACCCTGTGCCAGCGCCTCAGCACCCTCACAGGGAAGAGCTTCTGCCTAAAACCTAATCTAAATCTCCCCTTTGTCAGTTTAAAGCCATTACCCATTGTCCTGTCTGTACTTGCTCTTATAAAAGCCCCTCTCCAGCTTTTGAGTAGGCTCCCTTTAGACACTGGAAGCTGCTCTAAAGTCTCCCTAGAGCCTTCTCTTCTCCAGGCTGACCCAGCCCAGCTCTCTCAGCCTGGCTCCAGAGCAGAGCTGCTCCAGCCCTTGGGTCATATTTTTGGCCTTCTCTGGACTCTTAACAGCTCAACATGCTTTTTATGTTGTTGCCCCCAGAGCTGGCCACAGAGCTGCAGGGGGGTGTCTCACAAGAGCAGAGTAAATGGGAAGAATCCCCTCCCTCAACCTGCTGGTAACACGTCCTTTGGTGCAGCCCAGCACATGGTTGGTTTCTGGGCTGCAAGCACACATGGCTGGGTCATGTTGAGCTTCTTGTTAATCAACACCCCTAAATCCTTCTCCTCAGGGCTGCTCTCAATCCATACAGTCTTGATGAGTGGTCAGGGTGGTGGTGGGGAACTGGCTGAACACCTGCACCCAGAGCGTGGTGGTAACTGGCTCCTTCTCAAACTGGTGACCTGTCACCTGTGGGGTCCCCCAGGGATTGATACTGGGCCCAGCGCTGTTCAGTGTCTTCATAAGTGATCTGCATGATGGGATCAAGTGTACCCTGATGATGTTTGCTGATGGGGAACCAAACTGAGTGTGGAAATGGACACTTTGGAAGGGAGGGCCACCCTGCAGTATGACCTGGGTAGGCTGAAGGAGTTGGCTGACAAGAACCTTACTAAGTTCTACGATATGTGTAAGGTCTTACACTTGGGAAGACACAATCCAGGGAAGACACAAAGCCAGGCTGGGGTCTGCCTGGTTGGGCAGCAGCTCTGTCCTGGTGAACAGCAAGTTCATTAGAGGTGAACAGTGTGCAGATGTGGCAAAGAAAGCCAGCAGGGTGCTGAGATGCATCAACAAGAGCATCTCCATCAGATAAAGATGTCATTGTCCCACTTTACTCAGCACCTGTCAGGTCACACCTGGAGTACTGTGTTCAGTTTTGGTCCATACTACTCAAAAAGATGTGGACAAGCTGGAGAGAGTCCAGAGAAGGGCCGCAAAGAGGATCCAAGGACTGGGAAGCCATGTGAGGAAAGGCTGAGAGAGCTGGGACTGTTCAGCCTGGAGAAAAGGTGGCTTGGGGGACACCTTACAACCATGTACCAACCCCTGAGGAGCACCACTCGTCACTGCTCTTCATGGGGACATCAGGCCGTCAACCACAACTCTCTGAGTGCAACCATCCAGCCAATTTCTCACCCACCAGCTGGTCCATCTTTCAAATCCATATCTCTCCAGGTCAGGGACAAGGACATTGTCCAATGCTTTGCACAAGTCCAGGTACATGTCAGTTACGTTTTCCCTTTTTTGAGGACTTCCTGAAGATCTGTTGTGGTTTTTAATGTACTGATCACACTGTTTCATCTCTTGCGTGTACTTGTGCCTGTGCTTGAGCTGTGTGAATCTTTTGCATGTCTAAGATAGGGACATCTCTGGTGGGAGCTGAGGAATTCTTTCTACAGAAGAAATACAGTGATTTAAGTAACACAGTGTTTACATGTGTGCCAGCTCTAACGTGTGCTCTTTGTGGTGCTTTCAGGGAAGGGAAGCCAACATCCCTTTGGTGCCATGAACCTCCCTCAGACACCCACGGTGGCCCAGATTGGAATCTCAGTGGAACTGCTGGAGAACCTGGCCCAGCAGACTCCTGTTGCAAGTGCTGCTGTGTCATCAGTAGATTCATTCACAGAGGTAGCTTGGACATTCTGTTTTCAGATATTCTCTGTACTGTTAAAGTCTTTAAGAATTGAGCCTCTGAAGGCCTAATTGGGGACAAAAATGCAGTGATGGGTGGCTATAGGATTGTAACCAGTGTAACCATTGTCAAACCATTTGGCTGGAAGCTTTGATACTTCGAAATCATAGAATCTCAGAATGGTTTGGGCTGGAAAGAACCTTAAGATCATTCAGTTCCAGCCCCCTGCCATGGGCAGGGACACCTTCCGCTATACACCAGGTTGCTCCAAGCCCCTGTGTCCAACCTGGCCTTGAACACTGCCAGGGATGAAACACGGCCAGGGATGGGGCAGCCACAGCTGCCAATTTTTATTATAGCTGTAGTTAAGTCATGAGTTAACAATGCACCACTTGAGGTCATTTGAAAGATGCTGCTGGAAGTTTTCTGGCAATAGTATTTAAAGAAAAAAAATCCACTTCATGATTTTATAACTTTTTACAGTGTTATTTCCATTAAGGTGGATTTTTCTCTTTAAAAAAGAGTAACATTTTAACTTAAATTGTATACTGGTTTCAAGGAATGCAGTTGAGCCAAAGGTTGAAGTAATAGTCACTCCTGTAGTTAAGGGTTGCTCTCCCAGTGCTGTTTTAGTAAGTTTAAAGAAGCTTTATGGTTGCACATACATTTCTTTAAATATATATTTGTATTATAAAAACAATGTTTAAAAAGAACATGCAGTGAGGGGGGAGAGATTGAGGCAGGCTCTTGGCACATCAGTTCTTCACTGCTTTTGTCAGAGCAGCTGGGGGAAGCACAGGAGTGTCCATGCATTGCCCTAGGCAGATTGCAGGCTCTTCAGCTGGTTCAACAGCCACTTTTTGGCTGAGTTGGAATGGTAGCTTTGACCTGGTCTACAGTTCTTCTGATGGTTTAACTTGGAGGAGAGGGGCAGCTCTTGTCACTGCATCACTTGTCACGAAAAGGAAATGTTCTTCCCAAAGCTGGGAACATTTTGTCCCAGTTGGATGAAATTGGGCAGGGAGAAGGCGAGTGAAGAGTCTGAAAATGATTTCTGAATGCTGGATGAATCTGAGGGCAGGACTGGGGGGTAGGCTGGTTTGATCAGTTTAAAATGGGCATCTCTGGACCTACTATATCCACTCTCCCAGTGTGTTTGAGATGGCAAGGCTCATTTTACCTCATGTAGGAGTTACATATCCATTAAACTTCTGCACAAAAATTTAAACTGAAAAAAACTTACTGTAAATGTCTTTTTATATTTCAGTTCACTCAGAAGATGTTGGACAACTTCTATAACTTTGCTTCCTCATTTGCTGTTACTCAGGCACAGATGACCCCAAACCCTTCCGAAGCTTTCATTCCTGCAAATGTAGTCCTGAAATGGTAATGGCAGGGATCTCGAGTAACAAGGGTTCTTTCTCTAGACATTAAACCAGCTGATTTCTCAGTATTGAACTACTCTCATGTTATTTAATTTTTAATGTTTAAAAGTGTTTGTTGTTTATCTCAAATAGAGAGGTTCTGCCACCATTTTCATATTTATTTGTCCCCATCTTCATACCATTTTTTAATTAGAAAAGTGCTGTATAACCTGTGTTTTTCTTCTTTTGCTTTCAGAAATGTCACTGTTGACATGTGTGGATTTGCACTATGTTGCTGGTTATGCACATGCTCTGGAGTCATGGGAAGACACAACATGCTGATACTTGTCAATTTGTGCTTATTTGTTACACTCTGTCTCTTCCTAGACATAGTTCCAGCATAGTTACACTGCTTAAGAACATGGGAGAGGTGGAGGAACCATGTTCCTCGTTGACCTGGTTTTGTTACCAAGAACTTTCTGCACAAATACAAAAGTCTAAGAGTTGTTTTCCAGGGCCTGGTTTAAGAAATAACAGCCTGGGGAATAGCCTGTGTAGTGTGGAGATAACTTGGGAGCTGCAGGAAGTCCTTTAGGATGTCTGACGAAGTCTGCCCTACAGTTTATCAGTTTAACCCTCTTTAGCTTCTGTGGTGTCCTTTAGCCTCTATGCAATCCCTTTTATTTAGAAGGTAACTTCACACTCCGTGAACATATGTGGGTAAGGTCTCTGATGAGAGAAACCAAAGGGAAAACAGGCTAAAGAAGCAGGATAATGGCTGGGCACTGCCTGGATGATGCTGAATTTGCTTTTAGCTGTTGTTCAAAACAGTAGAGTGAAGGGACCCATAACTCTATTAAACTGAACACGTGTGTACAGAAATCTGTTAGCGTGATTACTGCCACAGAAAAACATTTTTTGGCTCAATTCATATGTTTTTGGGTCATTACAATGTGTTTAAATGATAGCTTGTAATAGGTAGAGTATCTTTACCTATTGCAGTGGGCTGGCTGCAATGGAAATTCAGTAGTTTGGCTTAGAAACTCATTCATAAATAAGCCTTTCTCAAACTTGAGTGGGTTTAAACTCCTTTAGAATCATAGAATCACTGAATGGTTTGGGTTGGAAAGGACCTTAAAGCTCATCCAGTTCCAAGCCCCTGCCACGAGCAGGGACACCTTCCACTAGAGCAGGTTGCTCCAAGCCCCTGTGTCCAACCTGGCCTTGAACACTGCCAGGGATGGGGCAGCCACAGCTTCTTAGCTCAGCCTGGCTCCAGAGCAGAGCTGCTCCAGCCCTCGCAGCAGCTCCAGGGCCTCCTCTGGACTTGATCCAACAGCTCCACGTCCCTCTTGTGCTGTTGCCCCAGAGCTGGATCAGGGCTGCAGGGGGGGTCTCCCCAGAGTGCAGCAGAGAGGAGAATCCTCTCCCTTGACCTGCTGCTCACATTCTGGGGGTGCAGCCCAGGACAATCCTGGGGTTTCTTATGTGAGACCCCTGCCCTGGTTCCTAGGATGGTGGGCAGCCTCAGACTCACGGTTGTACCTCCCCAGGTTGCTTTCCTAGCCCAAGAATTACGTACAAAATAGCCATTTTTAATTCACTTATGGTTTTACTGAGCTCAAATGAGTGTCCTCTGGGACACCCCTTCAAATGAAATACGTATTGTTGGAATACACAAGTCTCGCTGTGAATATTCCTGATACAGATCCAGAAGGGAAGATTTTTGATTTACTCACTTCATAGAATCACAGAATGGTTTGGGTTGGAAAGGACCTTAAGATCATCTAGTTCCAACCCCCCTGCCATGGGCAGGGGCACCTCCCATTAAACAATGTCACCCAAGACTACATCCAACCTGGCCTTAGAGTACGTGTAACTTACCATGTTCTCCACACAGACCAAATGATTTGTATCCTTTTTTATTTGCAGCAGCTTTCATTTCTTGGTTGGACTTTTTTCCAGGTATGAGAACTTCCAGAGACGCCTGACACAGAACCCTCTCTTCTGGAAAACATAAGCCGACACTGTGTCAGTTGAAGCACTTTCCAAACAGTGTTACCTGAAGGATGCAGCAGTATCTCCACTGGAGAACTTTTGGGAAAGGAAAGAACCCATGATTATTCCAGAGAGACAAACCTGTAACATTTGTATTACTCTTGAAACTTATTTAAAATTAAAATCAGTGAAAACTGCTTGTCTGTGTTGGGGTTTTTTAACTGAAGTACTTGGCTGCAACAAACCAGTGTTCCATTTGCATGTGTAGGAATACTCTCTTGAAACTGCATTTGAAGTGGAAGAACATAGAAGATTAAAACCAGGAGCAGCGTTTTGTACTTGTGTGTGTTTAGTTTTGGACAAAATTAAGTGTAGTTTTTCCTTCACCTCATTCTGAAAGGTAAGCAGGCAGCTGAGAAAATGCTGATGGTTTTCCTGTGGGTACTCGCACTGTAAGTTCTTACATTGTACAACAAATATCCCTGTCCCCAAGCTTGTATTTCCCCTTTTTGGGCATGAAGACACTGTTAAGCCTGACCTCAGGATCCTTGTTGAGGAAGGGAATAAACCTCTTTCTTCGTTTTCCTGTTTCAGGATGAATCATGTTTAGTGTCTTTTCTCTGCATTGTTCAGATGGGAGATCCCAGGGAAGGGACTAGACTTGGTACTGTCTTCATGACTGAATGGCCAAACACGTCTCTATATAGATACCTGTGATCTACCAACACTTCTTTTTACATCAACACACTGATTTAAAATGGGAGAAGAATAATCCTCTTCTATATAATCTATAGAAGTAGTGCAGGAATAAGCCTGAGGAGAAATGGAAAGATACAATGCATACATCAATCTGTGCTGCCTTTTACGTATATATTGATTTCCACACACACACAGAGTTAAAAACACCCTTCTCCTGGATGCCTCCAGAGATGGAATACCTATAATAAGAGCAATTCATATGTAATGCATATTAATTTGTAATGCTTCTATATTTAAAGTATTTTTTACCTTGTGCTGTTCTCAGTTTCTCACTATGAGGAGTTCAGGTCCCCTAAATGGAAAACTCCCTAAAACAAAACCAGACTGCTGCTTGTCGGGCTTTGGGGGTGAACATGGCCCACCATGCCAAACTCGTTACAAGGGCACAGATAGATTTCTTCCCTGCCATTTTGGGACATATTCCCTATCATTTTTCTATCCAAGTCACCCTAATTCATGAGTCAGAGCAGGGCCCTGTCTATATCTGGGTCTGCCTTCACCTCACCACCACATCCAGAGGTAAATTTAGAAATACAGGAAGCAGCTTGTGTATATACTGCTGAAAACATGGAATTGATGAAAAGCAGCCAAAAATTCTAATTATGGAGATAGCTTTTTGTAGTTTTGTTTGGTTTTCAAAAGAGTTACAGTAATGAAATGAGTCAAACACTTTTCTGGCCCAGGGACCTGTGACACACATGTGGTGCTGACAGGGTTGTGCTGAGGGGACCCTAAAGCCTTCCCTGCAGCACTGGTAGGGTAAATGCAGTTCATGGCTTTCAGGCACAGGATGAGAGCTCCCCAGCATCATCTGTGGTGAAACATGAGCGTGAACACACACTCTGACACGTAGCAGGAAGGGCAAATTCAATCCCCATTCGCATGAAATTCTTTGGCTTCAGATTAGAAGCCTCAAGAACCAGATTTAAAACTACATTGTGGTAAAGTTTTCATTCAGCCACCACCAGATGGAGTAAAACGCCAGCAAACAGGAGCTTCAGCCCTAAGGATGACTTTAATTTGAGCGAGTTTGAGATGAGCTCTGAGGCAGAAGCTCTTCCCTGTGAGGGTGCTGAGGTGCCGGCACAGGGTGCCCAGAGAAGCTGTGGCTGCCCCATCCCTGGACAAATACACAACTTCTATGTTCATGTGAGCTTTTTGGATCTGAATGTTGACAAGGAAGGCTTTTTTCCCTTGTGTATATTCAAGATATTATTCATCCTAAAAACAGATTGGGCTGGCTGTGGTAAAGGGAAACTTTTTCTTCCCCATGGCCTCCTCCAGCTCTGCTTTTCCAAATTCACATTCTCTAGTTCTTCCCTTCATGAACACCTTGAATCTGATCTCAGCTCCGTCCATCTTTCCTCAAGGCAAACCTGCTGGAACGTTTGTCTGCATTTAAAGAGAAGAGTCTTCAGCACATTTGTAAGGTAAGACAGAAGTTAAAGCTGCCCCTGACTGTGTCAGGCCTCTCTCCAACACCCTTCCTTCCCTTCCTCTCCAACAGAGCAGCTCATTAGTCAGAACATACCACTTACATACCAAAAACCAACCACAGCTGAACAATCCTGCTTCAGTATCCCATTTCACTCAGCTCTGGAGATTGGAAAACACAGCAGACCCGGTTAATAACATGCTACCCTAAAACAGTTGCAAAGCCTCCAGCCCAAGTGTCTCAATACAGTTCAGCTCATCTGATCAAAGCTCTTCCCTTGAAGGCTCTGAGCACTCCCACTGCCTCTTTGGAGGGTTCTCCCAACCACATCCCCACCACCACCAGCTTTCCAGACTCTGCCAACCCCACACTTCCCACAGAATGAACAGGGGTACTGCACCAGCAATGCTGTAGGTGCAGCAGAACTAGAGGTTCAAACCTGTCTCCAGTCTCATGTGTCTCTTCAGCTAATCCGTGTTCAGCTCTGCAGGTACTTCCTGAAGATGGGATGAGAAAACTGGAGTTGTTCAGCCTGGAGAAGAGAAGGCTCGAGGAAGACCTTAGAGCAGCTCCCAGCACCTAAAGGGGCTGACAAGAAAGCTGGAGAGGGGCTTTTTACTGGGCATGTAGTGACAGGACAAAGGGAATGGCTTTAAACTGACAGAGGGGAGATTCAGATTAGATAGAGCGTGGTTGTCCAGAGAAGCTGTGGCTGCCCCATTCCTGGCAGTGTTCAAGGCCAGGCTGGACACAGGGGCTTGAAGCAACCTGCTCTAGTGGAAGGTGTCCCTGCCCAAGGCAGGGGGTTGGAACTGGATGAGCTTTAACCCAAATCATTCTGTGACACTAAGATTCATTTCAATGTGCAATTAATCTGAGGAATGAGTTCAGAATACCCTTAGCAGCAATCCAACATTTATTCATACTATATTCCTGAGTGTAGTACTTCTTTTGCACGGTCCCTGGCTAATATTCAACAGCTTCATTAGGTTTCCAAGTCCAAAAAGCCTCAAACACAGCTGCAAACACCCCCACCCCCCCAAATTTCTAGCAAGTCACCATATATTCCCGCACACTGTATGCAACGCACTTTCATAGGCTGGAAGTGGAAACTCCTTGTGGGAAATAATTAAAAGGGACAATTCAGAAAACTTTACAAAAATACTTCTTTTTATTAAAAGCAGCAATTCCAAGCAGGACAATACACGGAATGTAAACATCACTAAGGTCAGCTCCAGCCCGCCGAACCTCCGAGGAAGTCTACACTAAACGCACCTACTGCACTAAGCGACTTAACTGACTATATTAGAATTTGAAAATAGATTTTCTACTTTGAGTTAAGAAAAAGTAAATTTATCTTAGTCTGTCCCAGCGCCAGATACTGGCATCGTCACACACAGCTATAAGGATACTGCTGTCCCTGCTAAAACTGGTTTGTCGGATGGCAGCAACACATTTCGGATGAGTAAGAGTCGTACACCTAGAAGTAAAAGAAAATCATTCAGCTGCAGTGTTAAATGTGTACTTAGTGCTACACTTACAGAGTGCTCATTCTCCAACCTCTTCCTTTTGTGAGCTAGGAGGAACTGAGGGGAACAAGATTATGCCCTTCATGGTGTATTTTGTGTTCTAAATGTGGACTTGGGAATGCTGTAATTTCCTGTTCACCCACCACTGTTTAGCCTCCACCTGATTTCCAGTGAGCACTGACTGACAGGTTGTTTCACCACATTATTTAGGGCTTCAGAATCAATGTTCTTTCCCAGTGGTTAGGAATAATATTGGAATTGGGTGACTAAAGACTGCAGCATTTTCAGGAACTTCATATGTCTATATATATACACACACATTTATATATATTCTATATAAAAAATGACAAGTATATAGAATTTATTATATAGTATATACACATATAATACATATATTATTTATATATACAGTATATATGCATTTTATACACATTATGGTTTGTGTGCTTGTGGTTTTTTTGCGTCTGTATGCTTGTATATGGTCTAATGTGCTTATTCATGGTCTAGTGTGAGGTGTCCCTGCCCATGGCAGGGGGTTGAAACTAGATGATCTCAAGGTCCTTTCCAACCCTAACTATTTTATGATTATATATAATCATACATACATACACATTTATAAAGACCTGCTGTAAACTGCCTGGCCACACAGATGAGGAACTGGAAAACCACACAGTTTTCTCCACACTGTGCTCACAGCTACCTTTGCACTCTCATTACTCCAGTCCCTTCACCTATTCCTCCTTTGTGATGTGCTACAATCCACCCCGTGCATCTTCTCTTAATCACTTTGTGAGTTTTCCACCTAATTAGTTTGCAAGCTCTTTGAGAAACAAATAGTCTTTTACTATTTCTACATGTGGTACCCAGCAGGATCTGACTGGGGCCTCTTGGCACAACTGTAATATAGATAATAAATCAGTACAAAATGATAAATGTTAACCTTCAAGGGCTCAGAATGTTTATTTGCCTGGTAGTTAAAATGGAAAGTGACAAGTACTGTTGAAGAATGTCTATAGTTATGAGCAAAGGAAGAAGTTCCCCAACTCCCTATCTTAACAAAAATGAAATAAAAAAAGGAAGTACTCACTTGGCTTTATGAGGATCCTCTATTTCTAAATCCCACACATAAAGTTTGCCAACTTGATTGCCCAGAGCAAGCATCTTTAAAAGAAAGCAGAGGACACACAAGTTTTAAGATACTATATCTCAAAGAATAAAAGTCAGAGTTTTACAAAGGCTCTAGAGCTGCTAAACTGAGAGTGTTTGAACATGAATGACTTCAAGAGGTTGTTGGAGGAGTGAGAAAGGCTGTAAAATTTGCCTGCTTTCTTCCATTTTATTATGCATCTCTGCAGATGGGGAGGAAGACATTAGTGAACATCCCTTTGGTGGAAAATCAGTATTTATTCAGTGAAGCTTTTTCCACCAGGCAGAACCCAGAATGAAAACTCTGGAGCTCATCCAGTTTCAC